GAGGAATTATCCAGAAGTTCCGTGATGCGTGGTATCCTAGACAGATGTAATGCAGAGCCAGATACGAGACTCTAGCTGCCTTTTACTGAGCCAGGCATTAAAAAGATCTGCGAAACTGTACAACAGCACCGTCCTGTCACTAGATTTGTTTTGCTTCGGAGAACGTTTATTTATTCATTTATTTTGAAAGAGTTATTTATTTATTTTAAAGAGAGAGAGAGAGAGAGTGCACATGTGGGGGGGGCAGGGGTAGAAGGAGAGACTCTCTAGCAGACCCCACCCCACCCCATCCCTCTGAGCACAGGGTCCCCGCCACGAGTCAGATCACATGACCTGAGCTGAAACAAAGAGGTAGATACTTACCCGACTGAGCCACCCAGGCACCCCCAGAAAAAGTTTATTTTTAATTAAAAAAAATGCTATGTATTTTTAACTTACATTCATTATTGTTGTTTTTTTATTTTTAAAAATTTAGGGAAGCCTGGGTGGCTCAGTGGTTGAGCGTCTGTCTTTGGCTCAGGGTATGATACTAGGGTTCTGGGATCGAAGCCCACATCGGGCTCCCTGCGAGGCGCCTACTTCTCCCTCTGCCTGTGTCTCTGCCTCTCTCTCTCTGGGTCTCTCATGAATAAATAAACAAAAATCTTTTTAAAAATTTTAATAAATAATTTCAAAGTTTCTCAACTTACATTTCCAGCATAGTGAATACTGACACATATAACCCACATAAATAAAAGCTCTTTGGGGCCCTCATTTTTTTTAGGGGCCCTCATTTTTAATAGCATAAGGGGGATCCTAAGACCGAAACATTGAGAACCACCGGTGTGGAGGCCGGCCACCAAGGCACACACGCACAGTCAGGGAGAGCTGCCAGTGACCGGGCTCAGCAACAGCTTGAGTTTCAATGTCTGGACAGTGTCACTGAGAGGTGGTCGGGCTAGATGACGGCGGGCCACGTACCTCGCTGAAGGAGCAAGTGTCTAGTAGGCCCTGGAAGAGAAAGACCATACTTGAAGGAAGTTGGGGACGGTGTTAACTAGAGCTCCGTGTGTTTCAGATGTCTGTGCCTTGCTTCCCATCTCTCCCACACCTCTCTGGGCAGCAGGGCTGGTTAGGTAGGGGCTGGTCTGGGCTCCTTGAGTTGCACACCTGCCCCCTGCTGGCCAGATGGCACAATGATGCCTCCCCCCTCAGCTCCTTCAGCTATTTGGGGAGCAGGAGCCGGAGGGTCTGTCCCAGGGGCCAAAGACACCCTCTGGCCTGAGTCCAGAGGGCTCAGCAAGGAAGAGTGGTCAGAGGATGGGACCAATGTCACCTCCTAATGAAAACTTATTTGAAGCCCATGAAGCCCAATAACGATGCTGCCCAGCATTTCTGAGTCGTGGCTACGTCCGGGTAGTGTGATAAGTTTTTTACACTGATTATATCACAACAACAAACCCTGAAGTAGGCACTACTTGGTTGCCGTTGTGTCGATGAAGATTTGGAGGCTCAAAATCATTAAGCAAATTGCCCAAGTTCCCGCAGTGCCAGGATGGTGACCCAACCGTTTATGGCACCGAGTGTTCTCCTTGCCATCTACTTGGGCTGCGGGGGTGCTCTTCTGCAGGTCTGTCTTCTCCCTTCGGACTGTACCTTTCTTGGGGGCAGTGACTGTCTTAGTCACCTCCGCGATGAGCTCAGCGCTTGGGCCTGAGAGCACTAAAGGCCTGCATGAGCAGGGTGGATGTCAGAGGACCCTGGAGCCAGCATGGAAATGTCCAGAGCCACAAGAGCTCCGTCTGAGGGGGAGGCCCTTGGCTGAGGTGTGTCACATTCTCCGCTGGCTGTGATTCCAGAGGCAGCCTGGGAAGCCAGAGAGCAGGTCCCTTGTCCATCCTGCTTGGTCCCTGGTGTGAAGAGACACAAACAGCACCAGGGGCCTCCAGCAGCGGGAGTCAGGGCCTAGCTGATCTCAGCTGTCCTCACAGAGATAGAGGAGGAAGGCAGGAGCGGGAGATGGGGCGAGGGAAGGGGGAGAGGCCAAGCAAGGCGCTCGAACTTGGCCCTCTAGGGCAGTAGCACCACCTCGTGGCGACGTTCAAGATGATGTAGGAAAAAGCACCAGATTGTCCCTAGCTTTTTCATTCTGGCATCAGCTAGCCAGCTTCCTCACCTCAACCCGGGGTTGAGGGTCATCCCAGTCTCAGAACTCCCCATAAGGGTTAGTTGCTTCCCTGCCACCAAAGCTGGTGGTCCTGAGACCTCTCTTCAATAAACTCCTGGTACTTCATTCTGCATTTCAGAGTCAGCTTCCCAGGAGCCCTAGGAGCCACACTATCCCCTATGTCCCGTATGACCCTGCCTATGGAGATTCAGGGACCCCCGCCAGCCGCCGGTCCACATCCCCCTGTACTTCTGGGTCACTTGGAGCACAGACCGCTTCTCACCTATGCTGAGTACTAATCACCGAAAGGACCTGGGTGGGTTGAGACCTCCCCTTGGCCACGCGGAGAGACAGACCCCACACTGCAGAGAGCCTCCAAGGAGCCCTGGCTGAGGCCAGAGACACCCACCAGAGGGCTCTGGCCCCTCCAGACCGACCCTGTCCTCTTGCCCCCTGGGCCTGAAGGAATCAGTATGGCCCAGTACACTGCTGACCTATCTATGCCACATAAAACCCCCAACTATCAACCCCACAGCCTGTGATTTCCCTCTTCGTCTCTTTTACGGAGCAGACCTGTTCACAGCACTCCCATAACAGCCCTGCCTGCTGTAAAGGGAGGCTGTTTCCTTTAGAGCTTCTAGGGAAAGCTACAGTTCACTACGGGGGCTGTCTGTCCAACAGATCAACAGAAGCATATCCTCCGCGGTTAGGGCCAGACAGGAATGCTGTGTGCAGGCCAGCGCTGCCCAGTAGATTTTCGGGCGGCGAAGGAAATGTTCTGAATCTGTACTGTCCACTCCCAGAGCCTTGGGCCTGCTGAGCACTGGAAATGTGGGTAGTATAACCGAAGAGCTAAATGCTCACTTTTATTTATTTTTAATGAATTTTAAGTTCAATAGTCACCCGGTGGCTGCTCTACCAAACAGCACAGGTGTAGAACCAAAGCTTGCCATACGAAAACCCAACGTCGCTTTCGCCTAACCAACCATAAGGCCTTTCAGGGGTGCATTCCCCTCCGTGTACTGTAACTCACAGCCTTGGAGATTCTGTATTCCTCTCCATCACCCATAAAATGCTAAATCAGATGCTCCTGGCGATTTTCAAGAACTTCCTCTTCATACTTCTCCAGCCAGAGACATGCCCATTTAGGCAGCTCTTGACTTTCTTCTCGACGCCCATTCATCTTTCATGACAAAACAGCCCTCAGGCCGTACCCCCAATTCTTCTACTACCATCCCATCTTGTGCTGACACACTGCAGCCTTTCGTCTGAGATCTTTACAGATACTTCTGAAAAATTCAAGTCAATCACATCTACAGGTTTCCAGACAAACCGACATATCCTAAAATAAATACACCTGCTGAGCATTATTTCCCCATTCGCAGATCACAGTGCTGTGTGTTTGGTTGGTTATTTTTGCTCGCTGCGTTTAGGGAATGCTGCCTTTATCATAAACCTCACCTCCTTGGGGAACGGAGTGCGGTGCCTCAGCTCCTCTGGGTCCCTCAGGAGTCTGTCTGTGCATAGGAGTCACCTACAATTCTCCAAGTCACCGACTGGCACAGTGGCCTGGTTATCATTCTTTTTTTAAATTATTTTTATTTTTTAAAAGGTTTATTTATTTATTTGTTAATGAGAGGGATTGAGAGAGAGGCAGAGGGAGAAGCAGGCTCTGTGCAGGGAGCCTGACGTGGGACTCGATCCTGGGTCTCCAGGATCACACCCTGGGCTGAAGGCGGCGCTAAACCGCTGGGCCACTGGGGCTGCCCTTTTTAAATTTTTTTTAAAAAAGATTTTATGTATTTATTCACGAGAGACACACAGAGAGAAGCAGAGACACAGGGAGACGGAGAAGCAGGCTCCCTGTGAGGAGCCCGATGTGGACCCCGGGATCACGCCCTGAGCCAAAGGTGGATGCTCAACCACTGAGCCACCCAGGTGCCTGCCTGGTTTTCATTCTTGAGGTTGTCAGGTAAGTGTCACACTCGGTTGGACCCGACGCATGTGACCACATGCTCTCTGCGAGTAGAGCACCGTTTGATTGATCACCGCCAATTTCCTTACATCCTTTTGGGCAGAGAGCTGACAAGACTGTCATTTTTCAGGCTACTCAACCCAGTTGGAAGCAGCATAGGGCAGCAGTTAAATAATGGCTTCTGGAGCCAGCTGCCAAGGGTTCAAAGCCCATCTCTGTCACTTACCACCAGTGTGGCTCTGGGCAAGTCACCCAGCTGTCAGATGGGGTTCGTAGTAGTCCATCTGCCCCGGGGGTCCGTGTAAGGATAAAGAAGGTTGGTTTGCAAGAGGCTTTTATTGACAGCAGGACTTGCCACAAAGTAAGTGCAATGTAAGTATAAGCTCATTTTATTGCCATAAGCTAAGCTTCCTTCGTTTGTTTGACAAATCTCTGGCAACTTGTTATTCTCTTTGGAAATCACTCAGGAGCCACTCTTTAAAGCCTTCTTTTGCTCCTTTTCTCCTTTCCCCGCATCTGTCTTACATTCCAACCTTCTCGGTTGGCCTCCCTTGGATTCCCCGACTTGCTTCCAGTTAGCCAGCTGCAGGATTTTCCCATCTCCCAGAATCTCGCGCCTTCGGCATTTAGGTGCACACTTTCCAGCATTTCCAATAATCTAAACATTTTCGATTTATAAGTGTCCACCTTCGTTCTCTCATTCTGAAATAGAATAGATGATAATATTTTCTCCCAATTCAGTCCTGTGAAACCTCACTTCTTCTCCTGTCTTTTCCTCCCCCAACTCCTAGACTTCCCTTTGGTAGCGAGCTGGTGTCGCAGGCCCCAGGGCCAAGGAGCTGGTGTTTCCAGGGCCAGAGGGAGAACTGGAAAGGTGGAAACATTACAAAGACAAATGCACTTTATTGATAAGGCAACAGCATTATACAGAGCTGAGGCAGAGACCCTGTCCAGCCAGGGCCACATTCGGAGGGTTGGGGGGAGAGAGGGTTGGTCCTGATTCACATTGAGACACAGGCTGAGGTGTCCCTCCTCATCCTCCTGATGGGTCAGCAGGGAAGGAGGGCAGGGGTTCAGGGTCTAGACTTGCTGTCTAAAATCCAGACCGTCCCCTAGGGGACTAGGTCAGACTTCAGGGGAGGGGGATGTGGGGTCTGAGCTCAAGCCTGGTGTAGTGAATAGAGCACTGGGCAGGGAGTCCACAGACCAGGCCCAGCCCTGGAGCTCCTTCTAACCAGCTGTCTGAGCTTAGGGGACCACACCCTTCTCCAAGTGTTGGTTTCTATAGGGAGTTGAACTAGTGTAGCGATTTTTAAGCCTTTTTCCCCCACTGACCAGTGGGCTAGACCAATGTCTGCTGCAGCTAAAATCCAACAAGGGTCTCTCCCTAATTTGGGAAACAACAGCAGGACAATAATAATTGATGTACAGATTTTTTTTTTACAATGTAAGTTTTTCCCCCATAAATATTTCCTAATCAGTGGTGCCTACTACCTGCTACATTAGAATGTAGTACAAAATGGGGTCTGATTCTGAAAACAACTCATATCTAATAAATGTCAGCCTCAGCCATATAGAAGGTATTGTGCAGTAAGAAACATGGCTGCAGGATGCTTCTCCACCAGAAGAAACACCGGGCCTGGTGGACATGGACTGTGCTCACAGTGGAAGTGTGATTGCTTCTAGGGCTTTCAGAGAACAACAGAGGGTGGAGGCAGCATCCAGGAACTCCTCCCCACTGAGACAGGGAATGCAGTTGTGTTCTCCAAACTCAAGCAACCATCCGAGGGACCCCCCTCTGGCTCCTGGAGGAAGCCCCTCTGTGGTGACCCCACACGCTTACAACTCACTCACCCAGGGACCCCGCCCCAGAGTAAACAGAGTAAGACTTCCCACCTCCTGGGCTGGGCCAGCCCTGGAAGGGAAAATGGAATTTGACCCTCTTACCACTTTTGAATTTGGGGTGGTGGAGTGAGAAGAAGGGAACCAGACCCACATGACTCCACCCCTAAGAGGCTCCCTCTGCCCAGCCATCAGAGGCCAGCGCGCACTCCCTCTACCCACAGTGAGGTGTTGGAGCACTAGCTCCTGGGTCTCTGGGGACCAGCACACTTGCAATACACCTACACGGGAGGGGAGAGCATGGCCTGGGCTGCTGGGGTCTGGGTTCTTCTCTTCCATTCCACCTTGCCAGGTGGAAAAGAGGTGGCCCCGCTGATAAGCCAAGAGTATGCCCATCTCAAGATCACCCTTGACCATCCTAGGATGAGGTCTCTCTGGCACCCGTGGCCATGGTTCTCTCTCTCCTGGGTGGGAACTAAGGTACTGGCAGGGTGAGGATGAGGATGCTGCTTGGCATTTCTCTGCAACGCGGGGGCAATTCTGTCTTGCCATGTAGATGGTTGGGAGGAGAGCTCTCGCCTCCACCAACCTCTTAGATGCAGGTCAAGGAGCCATGGGCTTGGAGACAGGGACAGCTGTGGCCATCATCTACCATTCTGCTGTGGGGCTGGGTTTGCCTGTCTCCCACTTCCTGGGCCCTGCTCTCATCCTCTGTGGGCCTCTCAGTGGGTGAGCTGTGGCCTTAGTGGCTGGCCCCTGCCTGGGGAGAAAGCCCACCTTACCATAGCTACTTCTGGGAAGAATGTTACCATAGCAGTGGGATGAAGATGGGCACTGAAGTGTTAGGCGAGTGCCCCTTGGCCAGCAGAGGTGGGTGAGGAGGGAGTTGTGACCTTTGTCACCTTGGTTTTGGTCATCCTTGGCAGTGAGTGTCCTAGGCAGGCCAGGTGCAGGAAGGCAAAGGGAGAAGACCCCATCATGGCACGCTGCCCTGGGAGAGAACAGCACAGCCTGGCTGCAGAGTAGGATGGAGGTGAGGGGTGGGGTTTTTGCCTAGTGATGTATGGTGGGTGGGGCAGGGGAAGGAGATCCCCACAAGGCTATGGACGGATGGGCCTGGAGTGGGGAGAGGTACAGGTATCTCTGTCCCTGAGGAATGGATGCATTTCTCCTGTCTGACTGTTCCCTCAGCATCAGCCAGCAGCCACTTTTGGAATGGTAGGGTCATCCCTGGGTAAGGCCCCACCTTCAACGTCTGCCCTCTGCCCCCACTTGAGTTTCTGTGTCAAATAAACAACAATTCCTCATGACTGAGGTCTCAAGGGATGTGGGGCGGGTGGGGAGCCTGTGTGGCCTGCAGGAAAGGAAGCCTGGTGTTAGGTTGGGCAGGAGACAGGGGTTGGGTGGGGAGGGGAGGTGGGAGAGGAAGGGCTGAATTCCAGGGGGTGAGGGAGGGTTGGTGTGGCAGCAGCCAGCTCCAGGCCAGGGCACAAGGCCCCAGAGGAACAGCCCCACCCAAGAGCCACTGCAGGCTGCCCTAGTCAGGAAATCTCATTGCCAAACACCTCCAGCACAAGGGGTGTGAGCTTCATGCTGCACTCAGGCTGGAAGGAGAGGCAGCGGTACTGCTTGGAGTGCTCCTCATTGAGGCTACGCAGGTCGGCCAGCTTCTGGATCATCTTGGCGTACAGCAGGTGGCTGCCTGGGGGCGGGTGGCGGCAGCGGATGTAGGTCTGCAGTGTGTTGGACAGGCGGTCTTGGATGGCCTCAACCAGCGCAGCATCCTGCACCCCGGGACGGTCTGCGAGCACAGGGAGGCAGGAGAAGGCACAGGAGCTTGGAGCCAGGTCCCTTAATATTTCAATCTCTCCAGTACCCCTATGCCCAGACAGACACACAGCCTCAGCAGCCTCCTAGGTCACCCCTGTATGACCGCTGACCTGTGACCCCACAGTCCTCCCTCAAGCCTCTCAACCACTTCAGCTTGCATTTAGGATCAAGCCCCATGTCTCACCTGACCCCATCTCCAGCTCAACTCTCTCCCTCTGTCTCTGTGCTCTCTTTCTTTCTTTCTTTCTTTCTTTCTTTCTTTCTTTCTTTCTTTCTTTCTTTCTTTCCTTCTTTTCTTTTCTTTCTTTTTTACTTTCAGATTTTATTTATTTATTCATGAGAGACAGAGAGAGAGAGAGAGGCAGAGACATAGGCAGAGGGAGAAGCAAGCTCCTCACAGGGAGCCCAATGTGTGACTCGATCCCCAGACCCCAGGATCACGCCCTGAGCCGAAGGCAGATAGATGCTTGATCACTGAGCCACCCAGGCATCCCTATGCTCCCTCTTCCCATCAGTATCTTGATGTGCCATGCTCTCTGGCCTCCAGGCTTCACATCTGTGTTCCCTCTGCCTGAACTTAGCTCTTGTATCTTTGCCTCTTACAAATCTTTTGGATAACAGCTTAAAAGATCTTCCTCAAGAGGGCCATTCCTGATGAGCCCCTCTCTCTAGTCCTTAGACTGCATCAAATTCTCTCCCTCTATTATACCCTGCTATAATATCATACATGTCTTTATTTTTAAAAACGCATCACATTAAAATTATCAATAATAGTGATTGTTTAATGTTTCCTCCTATACATCATGGAATAAAAGTCTGTGTCCTGTTTGCTGCTGAATCCCAAAGCCCAGCACAGTTCCTGATACCTAGCAGGTGCTTGAGAAATTTTTGCTGGATATATGAAGGAATGAATGAGTGAATGCTGGCTGGGCAGGGAGAGGGGAGCCCATATTCCCTTCATGGGTCCCCAGCCCATCCCTGATCAGAGGCCATTTGGTTGTTCCCTCAACATAGGCAGAGGCAGGGCTGCCCCCTTTAGGCCTTATCACCCATATAACATCCCCAGGACCACAATAACCTCCTCCTCAGCTTGTCTCTCTCTCTCTCTCCTCCTACCCCAACAAACAGAAGAAGAGCTCAAGGACCAGATTGAGCACACTGCCTCCAAAATCTGTCAGGTAAGCTTTCTAGGCAGAACCATCTTATAAACCCCAAGTTTTTATACCTTACCCCACAGGTGATCTCAAGTGTCAGCAAAGTTTAGTCCAGTTCACACAAAGGCAGAACCTGAGTACTGGGAACATCTAGACCTGTCTGTGTCCTGAGAAACCCCATTTATCTGGTTCCTCAGAGTCCCACCTGTGAATTACCTGTGGTCTCAGGGCCAAAGGCATTGAGGGACCCCTCAACATACACATATCATATGGGCTGTGCAAACCCAGAAAAGTGGGTGTTTCCTAATCTTTCTCTTCTATTGCTCACTCCGCCCTCCAGATCACCCTGCTGGCCCTCAGCAGGGCTTAGTGTTTCATATTCCCCCTTCCCAGGTTCCCGAGTTCCTCATACCTGGGGAGAGAATGCAGATGGCCATGAGCAGGACATGCTCCTCCTCATGCAAGTTCAGCTTCTTCAGTCCCACCTGGAACTTGATGAGGGGCTCAATCAGCTCCAGGCTGTGTCCGGCTGTGAGAGAGATGGCCAGAAGCTGTGGGCAGAACTGAGGAGCCACCTACCCAAACCATCCCTCCAACCCCACCCACCTCCAACCCTGCCTAGGTCTGCCTTTCACCCTTCTCTCCCTGTTGCTGCCTAATCCCTCCTATGTGCCTCATCAGGGTCTATGACCCCCAGAAAGGGCAGGGCCAGATTCTGGGAGCTTAAGAGGGTGGAGGTGGGGCCCAAAGGTACCTTTGGCCACATCACTGACTCGGTACTTGTAGTCCTGGCTGCCACAGGTCCAGGACATGTCGTCCATGATGAAGGACTGGTTGGAGCGCAACATGATGACCTCGATGGCACTTGATTTCAGCAGCACAATCTGGTCCTCAGAAGTGAGGTCTCTGCCAGGGAGGGCAGGGAGGAGTCAGGTTACTGGTCAAGAACTTCAAATCACGCAAATTAGTGGAGTGCCCTGGGTCCTTCATTGAGGAGTTGGTGGTCTGATCAGAGAGGGAAAAACTTGTTCCTGAGGGAGAACAACTCAAGGCTGTGATTGGACAGCAAGGCTGGAAGTAAATGAGCTCACTTACTAAGGCAGGGAAAGCACAGGGACCCACCAAGTGTCCCCGGCCTAAGCGGCCAGAGCTGTTAGGGACAAGAAGAGCCTGAGGACCCCCTCAGGGTTACAGCATGAATATGGAGGTAGGGTCACAGTCGTCTTCAACCCCTCTCATGCCTTCTTCTTCTCCCCCTCCTGTCCTCTCGTCCTTCTCAGAAGTAAAGCTCAGCCAACTCTGTCTCCAGGACATCTCTGGAGCCCTTGGCCTCCTTCCCACCACCACTGGGACCGTTCTGGTTCACAGCTCCATCATCTTTGTCAGTTGCCTGTTACTCGCACTCTGGGATCACATCGCCATTGGGTCTCTTTTCCATGTTGCTTATGGTGACTGTAGGGAGATATCGCCTGGGCTCGGAAACCTTCACTGACTTTCAACCCCCTCAGGATCAAGCCTGCACTCCATCGCCTGGCTTCAACCTGTCTGTCCAGCCCTCTTCCCTTCACAAACTCCACCAACCCTCTATCCTACTTAGCAACTTCAGACCACTCCCTGTTCAACATTGTGCGCGTTCTTACTCCAGCTTGCCTCTGGGCATGTGACAGCTCCAGCCAAGCCCTTTCTCCTCTCCTGCACCACCACATCTTCCTGACTCTGAAGCCGGTGAGATGTCTGTCAGATTCCCCACCACCCAGTGACCTTTAGGAGAATAGAGCCATTTCTTCACGGCCTGCGGCTTGCACCCCTGCTTTGCCCTTTCTCCTTCAGCTCTGCTCTTCATGGGCTTGTCTGCAGCTTGAACTGCAAGCTACTTGAGGGCCAACACCACTTCAATCACCTCAGTGTTGCCCACACTAGATTATTGAGCCCTGAGCACAACGAGAAGGTCAGTAACTGCGTGCTGATGAGTCAAGAGGCCGATGACTAGTTCCACTCTTCTGAGTCACTAGCTGGGCTTGCCTGAACAATGACAAGGAACAAGCAGTACCCACAGATCTGCTTGCTTCCAGTTTTCCCTCCTTTTCTCTCCCTGAGTGTCTAGTTCCACTTGGATATCCTGTGGAAGGGCTGCCATCCTCTCCGTGGCTGCACTTTGCTACATAGAAAGGTGGGAACTGGGTGTTCACTGATGAGAGTTCCGTATCATCACTGGGACAGGTGATGGCTGGGATGGCCACGAAGGGTCTGCCCTGAAAAAAATCTCAAAGCACTAGAGTTGGAAGGCTTTGTGATCTTAAAGGCATGTGATCCATTTCCTTCTTCAGCATTCCGTACAGATGCAGGGTCCTTCTGGGGCCAGGATACTGGTGGTCTCTGGATGTAGCCATGAGGTTGTTAACCTCTGGGTTACCAGCTTCTTCTGCTATTGAGCTGCATCCACTGCTTATGGTTCTGTCCTCTCAAGGAACACAGAACCAGACTTTTCCATTAGCCATGGGGCATCTTTTAATCATTTAAAGAAAGTTACCATGCTCCTCTGCATCTTCTCCTGGACAGACAGTCCCAGTGACACGGGGTCACACATCTCACCACCTTTGTCACTTTTCTCCTGATGCTCAATACACAAAAATAAACACTGATGCCTCACTGGGGTTTTACCTCATTATACAATAAAAGATGCTCATTATTAAATCTTTGCAAAATACAGGAAAAATATAAAAGCAAATAAAATTGCTCATAACCACAATGACCATTTGGGTGTATTTCCTTCCTATCTTTTTTTTTTTAAAATGCAAATCTCCCTCTTTTTTTTTAAAAGAAGTTACTTATTTATTTGTGAGAGGGAGGGAGAGAAAAAGAGCGTGCACCTGCACACACAAGCATGTCAGTTGGGGGGAGGGAGCAGAAGATGAGAACCCTCAAGCAGACCCTCTGCTGAAGTGTGGAGCCTGTCTTGGGGCTCCATCTCAGGACGCATGAGCTCACGACCTGAGCAGAAACCGAGCCTGATGCCCAATCAACTGAGCCACCCAGATGCCTTGCCAATCTCTCTTTTTAAAACATACTTGAGTTCATAGCAATTCTGTGTCCCATTTCCTACACCATGAACATTTCTTTAGCCCAGTCCATAACGAGTTGCATACAATTACAGCTTACCAACATACTACAAGTTATTTAACCAGTCTTCCAGCCACCTATTTTGGGACATTTTGGGTGCTTCTAATTTTTGCCATTTTAAGCAATTCTGTAGGGCATTTCTTTGTATGTAACCTTTTGTTCAATGGCCCATTCGAAATGGATGGCCAGAAGGGAACCAGCATCCACTTGTGCCTTGCCAGGGAGACTTTAGTAGTACCTTGCCTGCTGTGATCCAGGCATGCTGCTTCTATGAAAGCAAACCTAGAACGGCCTCACATTATGGCCCAGCAATCCAGGGACTTTCTATGTGCGACTCACAGCCAGCAGAGGGGACAGTGGTGGGTGAGGGTACAGGTGGAAATGAAGGGGAAATCGGTCAGAGATCTCCTTCCTGCTGACAGGTGCCAGCTCAGGCTCCCTGCCTCCTCCCCGGACTTGGGTAATATTTATATACCCTGATCGGTTTTCACACCGGTGGCCGGCTGCTTCTGGGCACCTGTGAGGCACTCTAGAGACGTGCCACTGTCTAGTCTTCCCGGCCCCTCCTCGCCGGCATTCCCACGGTACCTCCAGCAGGCCTCTTTCGGTTCTTATCTCTTCACCGCAATTGTCTCAATGTCTATCTCTCCCATCAGACACTGAGCCCTGGAGGCCAGGAACTGTGTCCTAGTTAGCTTGTATCCTTCACAGCTTATGGAGGAAAGCTGTTTGTTATACTAGGTGACCAAGGGGATACAGAGGAAAGGACACGGGAGGAGGGACACACTGTGACCTCAGGCCTCTGACCAGGAAGGAGTCCCTGGGAATAGAAATGGTAGTGAGGTCAAAGGCCTTTTGCCCATAGGGCTGGGCTCTAGCTGGTGGTTCGGCCTGGTCCCTCTTCCATCTCTCTTTGGAAAGAAACCTGGAGGTCCTTGGTTCTTAGATCCCAGATCACTCCTGGCCATTTGGATGCTGCTCCGGAGACCACTTCCTCCAGGCCTTCCTTCTGAGGTGCTGAGGCATGGAGATTTGTGGGGTGCAGGCTGAGAGGCTGAGGGAGGGGAGGTGGGAAGCAGGAGCAGGGCCCAGGCCTTGACCACAGTGCAGTTCACACACAGCCCGGCCCATTCGGTCCCGCCCCACTCTGGTCCCACGCCTGCGCCTGCGCTGGAGTCTCAGCCTGCCCCCGCCACCCCCCCTGCACTCACCCACACAGAAGTCTCATCCTGCCCTCCCCACACCCTCCACCCCTGCCTACAGGCAGCAGGATCAAAGACACCAGGGCCATAGCCACTGTTCTTTCACTTCTTGGAACAACAGAACCCTGAAGCACAGAAACCAGCAGAGCTGGGGAGCTGTGGGGCTGGCCCCCCCTGGGGCCCACCAGAGCCGGGCCTTTGGCCTCCATCCAGGCCCGACATCACCTCCATCCAGTCACAGAGAGTATCCACATCAGTGTCTCCCCTACCCCCAGAGCTCTTGGTAAGGCCTGCTCCATTTTTACTGGAACATCTTCCATTCTGAGACTTCCTAAGTCAGTCCGGAGAGACAAAAGCCAACCCAAGCACAGGTAGGATCAATGTAACCGATTTTGGATCAGCAGCTGGATTGGGTCAGTGGCGGCTCCTATATACCTTACTTTGTCCATGACTGCCCAGCTAGGCTAGGGAGCCCTGGAAAATGAGGCGGGATACGGAAGCCAGGGGGCAGACTACAACTCATTCCTGGAGAGAGACTTTAGGGGTGGGTTGTGCTACTTGTGTCAGGGTGTGTGAGGCAAGGGGAAGGGCCAGGGGCCAAGGGCATGGGAAAAAAAACGGAAGTTTGGGTTACTACAGGGCGGGGGTTGCATTGGGGTCATCCGGTTAAATGGATGGTTTTTTTGAAGGACAGCTTTGCCATGTGTGCAATCCTAGCCACCACTTCGAAGCAGCAAATCTGAGCCTCTGGACAGAGCTTGGGGGGCCCTGTACTCCAGCTCCCCTACCAGGCTAGGAGAAATGAGGACTGCTCTCTGGAACTAGGATAGGAGCCAGGTGCTACCATGTTTCCATCGGCACTTTGAAGTGTTTTTGTCTTTAGCTGTTTACACAAAACAAGACTTTGGAACAGACCTAGTTTGCAAACACTAAGTAGAAGAGTGTGGGAGGGAGCTGGAACTCGTGCTAAGCGGAATGTGTTGTCAGTTCCAAGGAAAGGCTCTGGAGGGTAAATCCCAGGCCCAGTGCAATCCTGAGCTCACAGGTGACACTCAGTAGCTCACTCCTGCTGGATGCCACAGTGGCCCTTGTTCCTACTGCGACCAAAATGGGCAAAGCAGTAAGGGCATCTCAAGGGCGGCGGGATGCAGGAAGCGAGTTTGATGTTTTTCTCTTCTTTACAATTTTCAAATGAATTCCTGGGGGAAGAGCATAGGAGAACCTCTGGCATCTGGGTTGCTGAGGCAAAAATAACAGAGCCCGGCTGTCTCAGGGCGGACACAAACTGGGAAGAACTGGGCTTGGCTCTCTGAGTGATCACCAACTAGCTGTCAATGCAGTCATTGAGACACTAACTTGTGGCTTCCTCGCGTGGCAGAGAGAGTCACCAAACAATAAATAACACGCTGCATTGAGTTTGCATTCAGAGCGGGCCAATGTCAAATAATTTGAGGGCTCCCAGAATTCCAGCACTGAATCTGAGCATCAGCACCTAGAAAGCACTCACAAGCCCCTTCTGCTGGCAACTGCAAATACTTCGCCTTGAACTCATGCTAACAGCGCTTACTAGTGATTTCTTCCTTTCTATTTCTCAACCACATTGTGTGTGTGTATATATATATATATATATATATATATATTGCATGGCAATGCTCCAAATGGCGTAAATAATATGGCAATATAGATATAACTACCTCCCAACATTCCTCTAAAAGCGTCTACACTCTCTTACTTTAAGAATATTTAACGATGCATGCACAGCTATTTAAATAGAAGGATACGTGTCATTATTACCAAAACAATGAAACAGCTGAATGAATGAGATGCATCAACGAATCTAAAACTCAGGATCTTTACTCCAGTAGAATTCCTTACACCTATCTGTTTTGGCAAAAGGTCTCAGTATGGTGAGGGAAAGGCCTTTTCACAGAAATTTGAGTGAAGGAGGTCCAGGTTATGCGTGCCAGGAAATCTGTCTTTCTCTGGGATCCCTAAATTATTTTGCAAGTCCCCTGTGCAACCCCTTCTCCTATCATTTCATTTTGGTTTCAGATTTTGGTGTGGAGGGTTAATGAAGGTTTAATTTAAAGGGTTAACATGAGGATTAGACCCAAGCCAGCTAAAGTGTCCACAGCAGTGAACTTGGAAATCTAGACCTTGGCTCTGACACATACTGGCTCTGAGACTAGAAAATGATCCTGACTGGCCACTGAACCTCTCTGGGCTTCTGTTCTGTCATCCAGAAACTGTGGGGTTTGGATAGCTCTCCAATGCTGGCCTGCTGAATAACGCTGGATGGGCTGTAGTTCTCAGACATTGTGATGTAGGCGGTCTGGGGTAGGGTCTGGGTCTCTATTTGGGGAAGCGGTGGATTGGTGATCTCCAGGCCTTCTTCTTGCACAGTCTAGGATTCTGACTCTTACCTGAACCCTGGAATCATCTTGGCAAAGCCGATGACCTTTTGGATGCTGTAACTGACCAGGTCAGCTAGGTGGGGCAGCATGGAGAGCTGGGACAGGTCCAGGGTCAGAGAAGAATCATCTGAGTCTTCTTCCCTCAGATCCAGATTGGAGAAGCTGGTTGGCTCCATCATGTCTGGGGAAGGATGAGGAAAGAGAAAGAGCTGCTGATACTTGAGTCAGGTGCCCTCCTGCTTGGCCCTGTGAGGACCTCCCATACCCTAGCGTCAGGGCTAGCCAGGAATGCCATAGTGACTGCCTGTCTCCAAGGTCACTCTTCAGCCCAGCCTTTCTTCTAAGACTCCGCCTGGCTTTTCTTGCAAGCAGAGCGCGACACTAAAATCAAAGACCAGAGATACTCCAAGAAATGAGATTTCCTCAAGCCATGATTTTGTAGATCACATGTTGTTTCTAACGACCTCAATTCAAAAATGAATTTGGAACCAATGAACTTATGGAAAACAACGTTCAACCTCACTAATGTTCAAATGACTGCGGAATAGAATATCTACACTGTCACCTATAAACTAGAAACAAATATGTTTAAATGTGGATGCCAGTGTTTGTAAGATGCAGGGAATTAGGCAACCCTTGTGCCATGCGGCGCTAAACGAAGCATAAATTTGTGCAAAGTAATCCAGAGAGCGATTTGACTACAGGCACCAGAAGCCTACAATTATGTATATTCTTTGACCAGTAATCCTACTTCCATAAATTCATCATAAGGAAAAAAATCTGGAATAAGTGCAAATATTTAGCCACAAGCATAGTGTTATCTTAATGAAAATCTGGGACACAATCTAGGTTAGATATGCTATTGAACATTCATGCCCCAGAATACTAATCAGTCTTTAAGCATGATATTCTAGAAGTATATTGAATGACATGAAAATGATATATAATGTACTGTTAAAAGAAAAAAGAAAATTACCAGATTTTGTATAGCATAAACTCACTTGTAAATATACAAATGCATTTAAAGAAAAAAAAAAGGTGGGAAATAGATATATCACAGTGTTAATAGTGATTACCTTTGGGTAGTAGGTTTAAAGATTTTACATATAAAACAAATAAAATCCTTAAAAAGGGGAGAGATGGGGCAGCCCAGGTGGCTCAGCGGTTTAGCGCCGCCTTCAGCCCAGGGCCTGATCCTGGAGACCAGGGATTGTGTCCCACGTCGGACTCCCTGCATGGAGCCTGCTTCTTCCTCTGCCGGTGTCTCTGCCTCTCTCTCTCTTTCTCTCTGTCTCTCATGAATAAATAAACGAAATCTTAAAAAAAAAAGGGGGGGGGCGGAGGAGATGCCTGGGTGGCTCAGTTCGTTAACCATCTGCCTTCGGCTCAGGTCATGATCCCAGGACCCTGGGATCGAGCCCCACATTGGGCTCCCTACTCAATGGGAAGTCTGCTTCTCCCTCTCCTGCTGCCCCTCACTCCCTCTCTGCCCCACTCATATTCTCTTTCTCTCACTCAAATAAATAAAATCTTTTAAAGATTTTACACTTATAAAAATATATCTTTATTTTATATGTATATAACTTAGCTTATCTTTTCTTTATCTTTTCTGAATGCCTACAATAAACATGTATTACTTCTGCTTAATATTTTTAATTAAAAGTGCCAATAATTTGAATCTTATTTATTTTGATTTATTTTTGAAAGATGGTATCTATTTATTCAGGAGAGACAGAGAGACAGAGACCTAGGCAGAGGGAGAAATAGGCTCCCCATGAGGAGCCCAATGTGGGACTTGATCCCAGGGCCCTGGAATCACAACCTGAGCCAAACGCAGACACCCAACCACTGGGCCACCCAGGTGCCCCTATTTATTTATTTTTATATTAAGTAATCTCTATGCCCAACATGGGGCTTGAATTCATGGCTCCAAGATCAAGAACTACATGCTACAACCACTGAGCTGGGCACCTCTTTAAAATAAATAGATGCTATCCTGAACATATCCCTGGTGGGGCTGAGCACCTCATATCAATTAACCTATGAGGGTATCAAAACTCCCAAATAATACGGGATTATTAAAAGCTGAATGTATAACATGTAGACTGATCCTCATTGATGCAAATACATATCCCACCAAGGGAAAAGAGCAGCCAAGTGGGGAGAGAAGATGAACACTTGAGAAGAATCCCTATAAGACAAAGGGCTCCAAGGGTCCGTCAATCTCTGCAAGGGTCACAGCTTCCCTCTAGTCCCTGACCACGTCCCTCCTGTCACTCCCGGGTGGGTAGACACCATGTCTGGCTCCACTGCTATCCTTTCCTGTCCATCTGACACTGAGACCCTCTCCACCTCTTTTGGATCTGGGCACAGATCCATCAATAAGTCTGGAAGGACCATATCTGAGGGTCCTCATTCCCCAGAGGAAAGGGGTTTTCCCATGCCTGCCCTCCTGTGGGATCCACGCACAAGGTGGTAGGGTTGGGTGAGAGGCAGAGGGATGAGGGACAGGGGGAGAGGGAGGATGGAGGAGGAAGTCGGAGAAGACGGTGGGAATGGACCATAAGGAGGAGCTGGAGATGACAGGTGCTGTAGCGGTCCCCCAGAGCTTGGGATGGGGGGGAAGGGAAGCTGCAATGGGCCCCACCTGTTCTCCTTCCACCCCAAACCTTTGATGACTATGGTCAATGATACTGTTTTGTATATCTGAAAGTTGGTAAGAGGGTGGATCTTAAAAATGCTCATCACAAGGAAAAAAAAAAAACTTTGTAACTCTGAGATGATGGGTAGTAACTATACTTAAGGTAATCATTTTGTAATATATACAGGTATCAAACTATTGTGTAGCACACAGCTGAAACTAATACAATTAGTTCTATGTCAACTATATCTCAATAAATATATTGGATACTGGGGAAAAAAAAAAACCCAAACCAGAATCCCCTAAAAGGCCTAGGCTCAAAATATCATTTAAAGGAATCAGATTACGCACATGGAGGGGGGAAGGAGCAGAAGCCTGGCAGGAAGGAAAGAGCAGGGACCCCCCAGACAGATCCTGCCCGGCCAGACCCCAGCTTGGCTTCTTCCCCAGCATGGGCCCTCGGGCTACTTAGCCCTGAGCTGTAGAAAACGGGGGTTGACCTGAGGACACTGTGTGGCACACAGTATGGCAGTGCTGTCCTCTCATCCACAGCCAAGGACAGGTGGGCTGTGGAAGCTCTGGGCTCTTGCTGGGCTCCGCTGGCAGGGCGGGGGCCGCGGGGGGCTCACCCAGAGGGGCCGGGTAGGGACCCTGGCTGGGCGGGGGCCGCGGGGGGCTCACCCAGAGGGGCCAGGTAGGGACCACTGGCGGGATGGGGGCCGCGGGGGGCTTACCTAGAGGGGCTGGGTAGTGATCCGAGCAGGAGGAAGAGGAGTCCCCGGAGACGCTGGGCGTGTGAGCCGAGGAGGGCCTGGACGAATGGCTCCCTCCACCCCCATCTCCACGAACTGGAGGCTGCAAGGGAAAGCCGGAGCATCAGAAGCGCACATTTGGGGCCACCCTCCCACCCTGCCCGGATGTCCAACAGGAGGCTTGGAGGAAGGCCTGCGGGGGCGGAGGCCTCCCCAGGGCCAGAGCAGCCTCCACCCCTGCCCGGTGCTGGCTGTCCCCCGCGGCCCTCCGTCCCTCTCCCCCGCCCGGTTCCCACCCCGCAGCTCACCGTCCAGGCCACGTACCCGGAACTGGGTGAAGTCGGCATAGGTGGGGTCGTAGGTCTTGTGGTGGGCATCCAGCAGGATGGCGATGATGCGCTGCTGCTCCTCCGACAGCTTGGGCCGCAGACTGTCCCTCAAGGCTTCCTCCTCCTTCCGCTTCAGGATCATCTCCCGCTTCCGCTGCACCTCCTCATCCGTCAAGATGACTGTGGGCAGGAAGGGGGATGTTGGGGGGGCTGGGCCTGCAGCTCCCCTTACTCCAGGTGCTAAAGGCAAAGGAGCTCCTAGGGCCCGGCACTTACTGCCATGGGGGGCTCCAAGCCCACTATAAGGATGGAAAATTGGGTTTCCTATTGAAAAGGCAGGTGCATGAGAGAGGAGGAAAAAGGATCTGAGAGGTGGGATGGTCAGGCATTATTAGCGAGTCTGGGTTCTCAGGAGCAAGTGATACGACTCTGGGCAAACTGAACTCTCAGGGCTTTGGTTACCCCACTAATCCAACAAGAAGTTTGCTCCATCAAACCTCTATTAAGGTCCCTTTGTGGTTCCTTCCTCCAAAAAGTGTGTGCATGTGGGGCGGCAGGGTGATACCCCCTACCTTGAAGGGTGGACAGTTTTGAGAACTGAATGCATGCCTAACACAGAGCAGCTGCTCATTAAATGGTGGTTCCTGTCTCTTCCCCCTCACATTCATTGCCCAAGATCTTGAGGGAGGCACTGGGGGAGGAAGGGTGGGAGTCCCTCTGTGGCCAGTCCCAGGGTCGGAAGCCAGGACATGCTGAAAGACCCTTCTACACGGGCATTTCCAAGTCCAAGTTTCCAGGCATGGGCGTTTGATCTACTCTGACCAACTTAGAAAGACTTTGCTTCTTTGGTTCCCTGCAAAACAACCTCTCCTCCAGCCTGTCCAGTCTTGACAGTTCTGCCCAAGGAAGTCTTTGAGCCGTCTGGAAGTCCCAAAGAGAACGCCTTGAAGCTCCGATCTGCAGCTGTCTCCAGCTGCTAGCCAGGGTGTCTGATGACGGGGAGACCCTCCACCACCATCATGCTGTGCGGGGGCTTCTGGGGTGGTGCCCACCTCACCGTGCTGGGCTGTTGCCCGGGAGGGCAGGGCTGCGAGCAGGGATGCCTGGCACGGCAGCCAGGCAAACAGACCTCCTGGCCAGGGCTTGCAGAGTGCTGACGGCAGGAGTGGGCACTGGGGCCCTTGGCCTGTAGCTACTTGCTCTGAGCTGGTGTTGCCAGCACTTCTGCCCACAGAACTGGGGAGTTTCACAAGAGCAGGGAAAGGAACCAGAACCCCAGAGTGGGTGGGTTCTGGGCTTCAGGAGAGGCCCACTGGCCCAGACCCCTCAGGTGTGGGTGTGGGGGGAGAATGAAAGAAGCTTCTGGGAGGTGAGGGAGAGCCTATGGGGGGTGGGGGGGAGGTAGGAGTGGGTAACCAGGGGCAAAGGATGGCAAGTTCCCTCCATAGCTGAGGTAAGCCATACTAAGAGGAGGACTGGGGGAGGCCACGCCCAGGTGAGTGACTCACCTGCCCAAAGAGCTGCCAACCCTCTCCCACAGTGGGTGTCTGCTCAGACCCCAAGAGGTCAAGTGGGGTGGAAGAGGAAGGAGCAAGGAGTGTTCCATTCAAGGCAAGGTACGAGGCCCTTACCTGGGGAATCCAAGAATAGGTGTCTGATCGTCCCTGCTCACCTGAGGGTGGGTGCAGGAGGTGATGGGGCTGGAGTGGGGCGTGAGGGAGGGAGCTCTGAGATTCATGCCACCGGCATCCGTGGACACGCTTCTCGGCCTGACAGGACTTTGATCATCTCTTGTGATTCTATTATGTCACTCTCCTGCTCAGAACCTTTTTCTGGATCCTTGCTGTTTACTGTGCTCCAAATTAAAGTCAAGATTCCCCATGATTTTACTTTCTCCTAAACTTCCAACCTCATTTCCTTGTGGACACAGCTTCTGTGACTATGCTGAGATTACTGACCGGCGAACATGACCCATTCTGTCTCGCCAATGCATTTCCACTTACGCGGGATGCCTGTCCTGCTGGGCCTTCCCTCCCCAGCAGCTGTGCAAGTTCTATCTACTCATATATATATATATATATATATATAATTTTTTTTTTAATTTATTTATTCATGACAGACACAAAGAGAGAGGCAGAGGGAGAAGCAGGCTCCACGCAGGGAGCCCGATATGGGACTCGATCCTGGGGCTCCAGGATCACGCCCTGGGCCAAAGGCAGGCGCTCAACCGCTGAGCCGCCCAGGTGTCCCGAGTTCTATCCTTTCTTCAGCACCCAACCCATAGCCCTCTTTCACCATGAAGCCTTTCTGGATTGCCCTGATCTGTACTGAGCTTTCATTTCTTATTTCTGTGGTATGTCCAGTCTTTCCCACGCACATTGGCACCCAAGTGTCTTCCACTCCGTAATATTTCTGGTTAGTACAGGCTACAATAAATGCCCATATAGAGAGAACCTAGGACGTTCAAGATCTTTCTTTTCTTTTCTTTTTTTTTTTTTTAAGATCTTTCACTAGAACTATAGGCTCCCTGTGTTTCCCCTTAATGGCCAGCCCAGTGAGGCTTCCTGGCCGTGGTGTTTGCTCAATAGTCTGAGAGATTGGACACCCAACACATCCACACTGATCATACCTACGAAGCTCTAGCCATCGTCCTTTGCTCAGAAAACGACAGGGAGAAGTGCACTAATACTACATGTGCCTTACGATGTGAGGATGGCACACATCAAATGCCTGTCCACTGGGGAACTGAACCCAGCTTACCCTTTCAATTTACATAATTGCGACTGAAATATTTTCAAGATAGAATAAGGTTCTTATAACAGAACACCTGTAACATTGTATAACCTTTTCTTGGTGATTCAGAGGTATCATTCAGAACAATTACTGGACTTTGCAGGAACAAGGTTATGACCTCAGAATTGTATAGGTCTGTGTCCATGCACCGTATTACTCAGTCTGCTATGATCTGGAGCTCTTGTGCTCCTTTACATCGCTTTTGGTCTCCCCCTCTCTGGTAAGCTACGTGTTGTCTCTTCTTATGGGTGCCTGCCTGTAGAAGGGGACCTTTCTTCCCCTTAGCAGTTAACTTCTAGTCTGCTGGGGAGCTGGAAATCATGGTGGTCAAGTATGTAAGAAAAAAGAAATCATATTAATAAAAATGGATTAAAAATAGAATTTTTAATGTACCGGGCACTCTGCTAAATGCTACTTAAATATTAGCTTACATATATATATATATATATATATATATATATATATATATATATATTTTAGCTTACATATATTTAGTCCTCGTAAAAACCTCTTAGGGCAGGTGCAATTATCCCCATTTTGCAGATGAGGGACCTGAGCCCCAGAGGCTACGCACTTTGCTCAAAGTCACACGGCTAACACGTGTTGAAGCTGGTACCCAGGCCTGGGCATTACGGTTCTAGAGTTCATGGTTGTAACTATTGCCCCATACCCTGTCTGATTATAATTGGCTATGGTTGCTCAGTAGGACTCTTGTCCTCAGCCATGGAACACACAAAGTGTTCCAATCCATCTGAAGAGTATGAAAAAAAAAATAAAGTAGCAAAGTTTGTAAATGATTTGCTCCAAAAGGACAAAGTTAAGAAGATTCAAGGTTAACCTTATGACATTGTTCCTCTCAATCACTGTATCAAACAGCGACTGCCATCCGGCGTGCAGTACTAGAGAAAGAAATGCTGAGATCTGGCATTTTCTAACAGGGCTGCCAATCCACCAGCCCAACGGTGTCTGAAGAATAAATCGTAAGTCTCTCCCATGTGCAGATGCTGCTGTGATTTATGAAATAAGTCTTTTTTTTTTTTAAGGGAGCTACTAATTTAATAAGAAAAAATTTAAAAATCGTTTTCTCAATGAATTGCTACTGAAAATGCCATTACTATCTTGTAGGAGGACATCTGTTTTGCAGTAGAGAAGAGCACACAGGTTCTGAAAGAGCATTTGAAGGGCTCTCCAATGAATAAAGCACAGGAGCTGTGTCCAAGGACTTCGTGAGACCCATAGGGCTGTTCAGTAGCTTCTTTGCCTTCCTTCTCAGCTCCTTGCTGAGTGCAAATATGACTTTGCACACATTTATTCCCATGCAAGATGCTCTCTGTTTCATGAAGTCTAGAATTGAGGTTGGAAGTCAAGATCTGGAAGCATGAACAACTTAAAAACACTTCAAGTTGCCCCAGGTGGCCTAAGGGCAACATCAGACAAGAGAATATAACGTGTTTCCAAATGAATGACATAGACAATATCAGATTTGGGAGATATTCCTGACCTGCAGACCAGTGGGAGATGTAGAGATGCAAAGAAGCATCACGGGGAGCTAGTATTCAGTCATTCAACACGTATTTATTGAGCAGCTGCGCTGGGCCAGGTGCTGTGCTAATGTGGAGTAGGAAAGACCTACATCTGTAAAAACATTAAGCAAAGGAACATATAGGTGTTTCTGTGCAGGACAGGCCACCAAGAAGCAAGAAGTTGACCATGAAATGTCTCAGGCTCCATGGACAAGATCAAGTCATCTAAGACTTGAAGAGAGAGAAAGGGAGTCTTGGATGGAAACGGTCCCTGGAGCCCATCCCTGAGGGCAGCAGGCAGTGGAGGAGCCCTGGCCCCTGGGGGTGGGCCTTTGGAAGCAAACAGACCATCTTAGTAGCTTAGAAGCATGAAATCTGAATTCCTCGGAGCTTCCCCTAATCTATGAAAGAAACAACAGAAGTATTTACCTATTTAGGGATTCCTGTGAGAATTTGATAAGAAAGCTCACGTGCTCCATGCAGTATCTGGCACTGGGTAGGCGCTCGATAAACATTTGTCCTCGGACCCATTCCCTTCCCTTCCTGGGCTTCCTTTAGGGAAGGGCCCTTCTCTAACCCCTGCCAGAAGGAAGCCTGCGTTTGCAGCTCCCTTCCTAGGGAGCCCTGGGGTGTCCTGTGGTTTTACAAATGTTGACACAAAATTGTCTCTGGGAGGTTGAGCCTCAAGGCAACCACCGGCCCACATGATACATGAGCAGCTCTCCTAGGGAGCTGGAGGCCCAGACCATTCTGACAGACGCCTTTAAGCTGGGCTAGCGCGAGGCAGAGAACCATAGCCTTTCCCGAAGGACCTTCCCTTCGAGTAGTGGAAAGAACGAGCCTAGTGCTGGCTCAAGGTTTTCATTTAACTGGAGCTCTGGGGCCCAGACTACAGGCCCCCGCACTGGCACCCTGAGAGTGGGGGACACAGGGCGGCCCCGGGCAGATGGCGGGGTGGGGCCCAGGGCTCTGTTGGGGAAGACTGGGGCTGTGTCTGGGGTGGCTGGAGCACAGAGATGTGGGGGGCTGGAGGTGGGCGTCTACTTCGGGATTGCTGGCCCGCCTCAGCACACGGTGTTCATGGGCGGGGGCACCGGATGCACCCAAGACCTGTTCATCGCCAGGGGTGCAGTGTTCACTTTGGGGACCAGGAGAGATCTGGAAGCAGCCATGGAGACTTGCTTTCTGACCCCGATCCTGATATTTTTACCTTTGTGACTCCCAGATGATTTCTAAGTGTTCTTCCCATTCTGAGTTGTTAGAACATCTCCTTCCTCCTGAGACATAGGAAAGGAGCCTCTGGGACAGCAGTGAGGCTGGCCCCAACCAGAACTTCTGGGGCCGAGTCTTACTGACTCCCAGTGGTGGAACTGCACCGTTCTTGGTTGGCAGGAGCCGCAGAGCCAGGAGAATGTGTGCCCCTTGGGGGCAGGAGCAGGGGCTGTGCACAGTGCGTCTTGTTTGTGGCCACCCTAGGGCCTCGCACACAGCAGGCCGCACTAAGCCAATGTGTGAGGAGCCCCATGAGGCACCAGGCCTCGGCCTCCTCTGCTCCAGGATAAACACAGGAGTCGGGCGGGGCAGGGGACCGGGCTAGGAGAGATCAGCATGTCCAGGCCTGCGCACTACTGTGGGGGCGAGGAGGAACAACAGCCTGGAAACTTTTCCAAGGCCTGCCAGTGTTGACTGGGGAGCTGGGATCAGGAGTGAAGGGCTGTGACCCACCAGAGGGTAACCTGCCTCTGTTCCCCAACAACAGAGAATTTTTCTTTCCAACAAGGAGGAAATTTTCCATCCCCTGAGCCCTGTCCTGTTACTCTTCCCTTGTTCTGGACGTATCTTCCCTGTACCTGCTTCCCTCACCCCCCAAAGCAATAGCCCCATAGCCAGGAGGGCCTGCATCTGAGCGCCCCTCCTAAGCCTCCTCAGGTCCGCAGCTTAGCGGGGCATAAGCCCTGTCCTAGGGCCAAGGACGGGATCAGTGTGCAGACTGCAGACAGGAGTGAGCAAGAGGCAGCAGGGGGCCGGATGTGCAGAGGGCACCTGTGCCCAGGTCGGCCCACAGCTCTGGTCTCCAGCCCAGGCAGGGCCTGACCAGCCCCTCCTAGGCGCTACTGAATTCGATGGCTGTTCTGGTTACCAAGTAACTGTACCAGAGCTCAGATGCAAAGTCCAGGGGTTGTTTTTAACTGAGGGTTGGAACAAATGAATCTGCCATTCGTCCTCTCCTCCGACCCCGGAGCTGGACAGGATGTCCTATAGGACTGCCCTTCTCTCTCCATCTGAATCCAGAGGGTCATCCCAGTGCTCCCCCTCACAGGCTCTTTCCCCCTGGTCTTCCCTGGTCTCCGGCCCCCAGATCTGCCCGTGGGGCCAGAGTGGCTGGAAGGCTGGGGCAGGGTGGCACCCGATACCAGCCAGGCTCTGCATATTTATTCTCCCCATCACTCCTGCCCTTCCCCAGCCTCAGCAGCTCACTCTCCCAAAGTCCAAAGAACCCTGGGTCCTTGGGCCTTGCCTTTTCCCGGGAGGTCGAGGAACAGGGAGGTGAGAATAGTGACGCCGTCCTGGAGGAGGACCCATCTGGGAGATGGGTCACACGGGAGAGGGTGAGGCCCCTCCCAGGACTCTGCGGCACAGATCCCCAAGAGGCTCGCAGGACCCCCTTGGGGCCTCTGACCCTGCTGTCCTGGCTGCAGCGCCCCAGCTCCAGGCCCCGGGTGCCTGCAGCCCCAGGGGAACCGCACGCAGCCCGGTGGGGCCAAAGCTGCCCGAAGAGCAGCTCAAACGGTCCCCCTCCTAGGCCACCCCTGCCCTGGGCCCAGAACACTCACACTCCTTCATCATGCCGATGTCCACACAGCGCTTGAGCCGGCAGGCCTGGCAGTGGCGGCGGTTGTCCTTGGTGATACGACAGTCCCCGTTAAAGGGACAAGTGAACAGCGCCTTCCGCTTCATGCTTCGCCTGCCCGGGGAGAGAGCACATGCCACCTCCGGGTCACCCACCTGCCAGTCTCAGCCCTGGCTGCCTGCAGGGGCTGGGACCACCCCTGAGCCCTGCCCACAACCCCCCCACCGCCTGGGTCTCCATGTCTCCCACAGAGGACTTGGGGCCCAGCCCTAGGCCCCCTCAGCAGCCACCACTCCCCACCTCTACACTCTGGGTGCCTCCTCCTTCTTTCCCTGCTACTCTGCTCCCATCATTGCTTTGATTTCCTTTTTTTGTTTTTGTTTTTTGTTTTTTTAAGATTTGAAAGGATTTATTTATTATTTTTATTTTTTATTTATTTTTAAAAATATTTTATTTATTTTTGAGAGAGAGACAGAGACAGAGAGACAGAAAGAGAGGCAGAGACACAGGCAGAAGGAGAAGCAGGCTCCACGCAGGGAGCCTGACATGGGACTCTCTATTTTTTTTTTAAGTGAGCTCTATACCCAACGTGGGGCTTGAAATCATGACCCTGAGATCAAGAGTCACCTGCTGTACCAACTGAGCCAGCCTGGCGCCCCTGATTTACTTTTATGATACTCTACTTCCCACGCTTTTTTTTTTTTAAATTACACAGGAAACGTGAGTGAATTAACCTAGTGAAACTTTTTTAAAATACGAAAATCTGCAGAGCAGCCCTCACTGCTTCTAGGGAGCCGCTTGGGGAGGTGAGGACGCTGGTGGAGGCTTTAAGTCATCCAGAGTCTGGAGACCTATGACTAGAGCATCCCTGGTCCAGGGACAGACACGTGCGCAGGTGCACGCAGAAGGGAGAAAGGGCCCCAACTATAGCTTGAGGCATCCAGATAACACACCCAGAGAGAAAAGGCCAGATGAGTGGGTGGGAGACCTCAGGTCTGGCCTTGGCCTTTTGAGAGGCAGAGGAAGCAAGGGCTTTGCCAGGAACCTACCGCAGGCTCTTAGCTATGAAGCCGGTACCCCCGGGGCCCCTGGTATCCTATGTAAAATCACACGCGTGCACGTACGTACATACACATGTGTGCCCATGCGTGCATGAGCAAGCTTGAACACTGCACCCCATGCGACTTTTGGGAAGCTTCCCATGTCCTAGAGGTTCCTCATACTCTTCCCAGCCCTAGCAGGTGCAGGCCCCACTTTTTTTTTTTTTTTGTGCCCTGGAACAAGTGACAGGATTTGGTTGGGGAAAGATGGTAGCAAAATCCCTTTCTCTGTGAGCAGCAGCATCTTCCGAGGAGATGCTCAAGTCTTTAAGTAAAAGCCCAGGCCCAACCATTTCCCTCTCTCAGAGATGGGCTGGTCACACACTAGTTATGTTTCTTGGTTATGTTTCTTCACTTCACATTCGCTAGAAGACATTTGGGGTTTAGGGCAAACATACTCATCAGTTGACCTGGACAGAAGGGGACAAACCAACTTGACCCATGGGCTGGAGGAGAAGAGAACATAGAAATGACCTGCAGCAGTCACAGGCAATCAGACTCCCAAGAGACTATTGGCGTATGTCCTCGTTTTATAGGTGAGACTACTGAGGGGAGGAAACTCATCAGTGAGGTGATTTGGCAAGAAGTGAAGGCTCCCGTGTTGGCTGTTGGAGATGTGAGGCTCAGCTTTTGGCTTCTTGGTTGGAGCCTACCGCTCTCATCCCTAGAAACTCAAGCTGCTCAATGATATGGAGCCCACAGGCCAACAGCTCAAGGCCCATGAGGTGGCTGCTCTTGGTTTGGGACCTGGGTCCTCAGTACTTTCCTGTTACCTGTTTCCTGACCCAAAGGGCACCCCCACCCCCCGCCCCACCCCAGTAGATGCGTCTATGTGGGAAGGTGGGATAACATAAGGCTATTGGGGTAGAGTCCAGCCCACCAACGCCACACCCACCCTGTGGTGACTGCCCAGAGACTGTGTATCAGGCTTTTGTCCACCTTTATGGAAACAGACAGCCTTTCTCCTTGGGCCTCCATCCATCTATTGCCGCTCTCCAGAGGGACAGGCAAATATGGAGGTACCTTGGCTACCCCGAAATGAGAGGCTACCATCACCACAGGACATGAGATTGATTCACCCCTTTACTCCTTCCCACTCATGGTTTCTGAGGCTCTGGCTGTTACCACAAATGTTCAGGCCCCAGAATGCCCGTAATTCTCTAAACTTACTCAAAGGCCAGAAGTTTCTAATTCAGAGTAAACTCTCATTTCCTTTTTTTTTTTTTTTTTTTGTTGGTTTTTTGTTTTGTTTTGTTTTTTTTACAACCAGGCATTCTGCCCAGGAGCTCAGGGTCGGTCCTATCCTCCCACCCGCTGTCTTGTCTGGCTCAGAGCTCTTCCTGTGGATTCTCCAGGGCTTTGGGGACCAAAAGGAGCACCTCCAGACACATGAGCCAGAGCATCCCACCAATCCTGCGCTGGGGGCCAAGAGCTTCCTGACGCCCCAGCTGGGAGGCAGCCCCGCATCCCCCATGTCTGTTGCTCCGTCCATGGGCTCTAGCGCACCTGTCTCTGACTCTCATGGGTGGGTATCTCCCCAGCTGCAAGGTTGCTCAGAAAGAGGTTGTGGCACTTAACCACCTTTCTTTTGTCTTCCTCACTGTAAGTCTGAAGCCCAGCCCAGGTTTCCACACATAGAAGAGTTGGAGGTGGCCACTCAGCCCAGCTTTGCCTGACAACAGGAATGGACTCCAGTGAGGTCGGTTGGGTAGGAATCCCTGCAAAATGCAGAGCTGGCTTAAAAGAAAATACTGGGAGGAAAAACACCAGTGTCCTTGCTTCCAGCTTTGTAGTTACAGAAGGGAAGGGAGCTCATGAATACTAAGAGGCAAAGGAGGAGGAGGAGAAAGAGAAGAAAGCGAGGGAGGGAGGGAGGAAGGGAGGGAGAGGGAGGGGAGAGAAGGGGAGGAAAGGAAGGAAGAAAAAAAAATGCTAAAAGTCCTTCTGGCCGGGTACACTATCCCCACAGCAAGGCTCAGATCTAGGGTAAGAATGCCACACAGGTGTGTGCTCTTCACCCTTTGCCATACTTCGTCCCAAAGCCCACCAACTGTGCAACACGTCTCCACGCTATTTGAGTGATGCAGAAAGCAGCCTGTAAATTTATGGAGCTCTTAAATTATTATTATGAAAAATTATACTAAGCAGCTCTTCCTTGGCTCCTCTAGATACAGAATCAGAGAAAAGACCCCGGAGTTGTACCCAGGGAGATGGAGGTTAGCGAGCACGAAGAGCTGTCACACTCTGGAGTGTGGATCAGTGTTCAGGGGATGGAAAGCTCCCTCACCAGCTCCAGCAGGCAGACCCAGGTCCTCCCCCAAACCGGCTTTCAGGTGCGCCCAGCCCAGTACAGTTGCCAGGGCTGTGGGTCCCGTGGGCTCTGGGGCCCAGTTCTTCCCCATTCTCCTGCCTTCTAGGGGCACTTCCACACATGTGGCTGTCATCTAGCCTCTGCCCCTGAGGAGTCAGGGCAGGCAGATGGGCCAGCTCTGGCTCTGTGCTTTGTCCCGAAGATCCACACCCCATGCCCTGCCTTCCTCCCAATGCTAATTGCTTGTGAGCTGGTTTGGTTTTGAGAAACAAGAGCTGCGAGTTTCCATGGGAGCGCATTGCCTTAGCTGCTCTCTGAGCCTGGACCCTGTCATCCTCTGGTGGTTGGCAATTATATCCCAGCTCAGGAAGGAGGGGTTGGGGTGGTGCAACCGGACTAAATATAAACACAGTTTCTAGAAAGTCAGGGGTGAGAGAGGACATTGACCAATTCATCAAAACATGACAGACAGGCTATTCACAGAAGCATGAAGTGCCTGGGGCCAGGGTCTCAGGCCTGGGTAGGTGGCCCTATCCTCAGAGACACACGTTATAAAACCCAAGCCTGGGGCCCAGTGCCAGCTCTGGCTTTGTCTCCACTGCCACTCTGAGTATCTGGATACCAGAGCCTGATGGAGTGCCTTCTGTGAAAGGCCTACATGGTCTGATAGGTGGGACCTACACGGCACATTTGTATGTGGCAGCATCAAGGGCTTCCCCGGGGTGGGGGGGGGCGCTTAAAAACCAACCGTAAAGGAAGCTACTTTCACACTATGGTAAAGAGCACGAGGCCTTTTTTTTGGAGGCCAGTTTGGCAACATCCACCGACATGTGGACTTTAAGGCAGCAAATCTACTTCCAGGAATTCATCATGCGAATAAATCAGTCCACGGGCCCAAAGGTACGTGCGTAAAGGTGGTCACTGCAGCCCTGTACGGAGCAGCAGAGGACGGAGCCTGAATGCTCATCTAAAGAGAAGGGTCCGTCACACCATAGTGCATCCGCACAAAGTGATGGGGCTGTGGAAAGGACAGAGGAAGAACGTGGACCCGGGAACTAGACTGAGCAAACATTCTGTAGTAGGTCAGAGCAAGATGCAAGAGGGCGAGGACTGTGTACTCCCATCGTCCTGTGCAGGTGTGAGTGTGCGCACACACCACGTGAACCCAGACACACGCTTTTTTATATAAAGAGTTTGGAAGTGAACACAATGAGCTGGTCACAGCGACAGCTTCGGGAGGAGGTAGGGACGTGAGAATGGGGTAGAGACGGCTTACGCTTCGCTTAGATGTCCTTTTGAACTATTTATTTGCTGCTGCTTTTTAAACCATACGCAGGGGTTATTTACACACACACTCAGGTTCTGTGTTAGAGGAGAGAAAAGGACTTCTGCTCTCAGACACAAGCACTACGGAAGGACGAGGATAACAGCGAGCACCTCCTGAGAGCCCTCTGTGCCAGGACTTCGGACATTCCCTCCGACGCGCCCGGTAGCCTCGCAGGTAGGCTCTGTCCCTACCCTACAGGTGATAGGGAAAGGCGCTGGGAAGTTAGATCACTTGCTTCTTGTCACACAGCTAGTAAGTGTGAAGATGGGATCAGAATTGAGATCTGTTTGATTCCAAAGCTTCCGGTATTCTTCCCCAATAATGGTCCTCAGCATGAATTTACCATATCCCAATCCAAGTCAGAGCAGCAGTCCAA